AGGATTGTGTCCGATTATTATTTTAGTGTAAGATATTATTCTTAATATTCTGTGTCATAACTGTTTTAAAACAATTGTTTTTGACATACAGCTTATTTTATTTTATTTGAAAAACAAACAGCGATCACAGATCTATTACACAATAGTTTAAGGGTATCAGTCAACAAATTAAATGTTAACAGTACAGATGGCATACTTACCTTGTAAGCAAGTTTGTGCTGCTTAATTTTAATTCGCATAATATTCCTAGACGTAACCGACTAATGGATTAAGCTATGCTAAAACAGTGACTGAAAAGTAGAGGTGATTGCTGTATATTTAATAAAAAGACACAAAATAGTAAAAAAAAACTTAACACATCATATATTATATCTAAAGGTCTTACTCAAATAGGAATTGAGCAATTTCGTGTTACAGAATAGCCTCCCGATAAGGCTAAAGATGTTTCAACACTACAGTTTTCACTATTATGCCGAGTTATGCCATAGTCAGCTCCCGTTCATTAAAACTTCCACAAGCAACCGCATGTCTGAGGCGTTCTGTCTTAACTTCTCCATATAGTTGATACATACCAGATTTATAATTTATTTAGTTCACTTTGTTCGTGCGAATTCAATTCGTATTATTGATATTTTCGATACAAGTATTATGATTATTATTATTTTTGTTTACAATATAGGTAATAAAAGTAATGATACAATTATGAAAAGATACGTTTAAAGCCGGAAGGTGTGTGTCTTGTATAATGTGTAAAAAACTGACTAAATCACGTTTGTTGTATGAAGCCTCCTTAAATTTTTGTTATTGTGCTATTTTTTAGTATTGTTCTTGTATCGGCCACAGAAATACATCATTTATTCATATTTCAACTGTCTTACTATCATGGTTCATAAGAAACGGCCTGATGAGATACGGACAGTGGCGTCTTAGTAATAGTGTATCTTTTTTTTTAATTTTGGATACGGAATCTTAAAAGAATGACATTTAAAATCATAGACATATATAGTTTGAATATGTTTAACTTGCAATAGTGCTCGTCGTAGAGTATTCGTAAGTTCAAAAACAGAGGTGCAGTAGTAAGCTCTAATTATCTTATTAAAAAAAAACCCTTAACACTATTCAAAATTACGAAATGTATAATAACGACATTGAATATTAGAGGCATATAAAAAATGCGTAGTTTAAGAATATTGTCTTAAATCATACTCTCGTCGAATAATTAATGCTAACCTTGGGGTGATAATTAATTACTATCAAAACTCAGAAGTTCAATAATGACTTCAATAACTCTATGTAAATTAAACTCGTTCTAAGGTTTCGTTAAATGAGAGTTATATTAGGTTCATCGTATAAGTTCAATTACCCGTCTGTAACCGACGGGTATTTTGTAGGTAAATACGATTTCAATCATACCAGCCTATTTCAATTAGCACCTTTAATTTATTTAATTTGGTTTGTTACCTTATAAGTTTTGAATTATTGTACACAAATATATTAATTTAATATTTCGTGTCAATTTAATTTGATTGAACCCATATTGTTTAGTTATTTCGTCTTCTTAGCATTTTTTATTTACATTACTTTAGTCAGTTTGTAGTACTTTTAAACACATCTCTTTTTAACAAATTAATTGAAAATGAAAACATTGAACCGAACCTCAACATTGATGAAAACTCGTGAAAGGTTGCTGATGGATTTTTTAAGCATTTTTCGCCAAAAAATTTTACTAATAAATCACTGTGAAAGAAAAATTGGTAAAATATAACAATCATTACTCTTTTCATACATTATCACCAAGCTATTCAGGTCCCTGACGGAACATGCTATGAGCGAGTGCGGACTTGTAGGACTACTTCAGAAGAAGCCGTCGCTAACGAGTTTCTGGAGCACGGGGAGGTCGAGATATTAAATTTTTGGTCACTCATCCTATAACCGATTTTAGTGAAACTTCCGTATCGTGAATCGAACGCAACAATCACTGCTCTATCTAGCTCCCTTTTCATGCCTTTTGGCACCATCTAATAATATACGGTCCATTTCATCGTGAATGCGTCTCAACTCTATTGAATTTAGGCGAAATATAAATAGGGCAAAATTCTATTTATAATTGTCAACAAAGTCTTTGCCTTAGGTTAGTAACACTATGACGTCTGTAACACGTAATTAATTACCAGCAATTACTGAATGTAATTCTGGCTTATATTGTTAGTGATATAGTATGATGGATACGCGGTTGGGGGTCATTTATTTACATATAATGCTAGCAGATGGTTCAAGGACGAGAAAGTTATATATTTATTAATTATTGTCAAACAGCCATCTTGGTTCGTATTGCGATTTTACGAACCAAGATGGCTGGGAAAAGAAACGAAATAATTTATATTTATAAATCAACGGATTATCGTATTTTTACACTGATATTTGTAATTGAACCCGAAGTCGTAAAACGGTGACCACTTTAAGATGACCAAAAATTTTCATCTTCATATTTAGTGCTAATTAAAAATACAAAATCCACTTTGTCCTGGTACTCTGCGATGGGGTTCTAATCCACGATCTTTCACAATCTGGACGATTAAATATATTTAAATACATATATATACTATATATACTATATACATAAGTATATATATATATATATATATATATATATATATATATATATATATATATATATATATATATATATATATAGTATATATATATACTTTCATAAAGTACATATATTTTGATATTTTTTTAACCAACTAAATACTTTTATAATCATTTAAATAATGGAAGCGGGAAAGCGTTAACTGTCATATTAAAGCTTAATGCATTATTAAGTACCATTTTAATTTCAAGAACTAAATTAACCAACACTAGTCGTATAGGAAAATTCTGTACTATTAAAGCTAAAGCGGATCAACTTACCTTAAGTAGATAAACAATACAAGTTGACTTAAGGTCTTACCGCATAAAAGACGAAACTCAGATTTAAACTTTTATCTGTAAAGGTTTTTGTGGGGTACCGCGTAATCCATCTCTAAACATGTTTTTAAGAAGAAACATCTGTGTTTTGTGTCTGCCTTAGCATTAAAATAAAAAAAAAAGTATTTGTGTCTATTACTCATACTCAAGCCGTATTTAAATTAAGAAAGTAGTTGAAGGAAACTAAAAACAATTTTCACTTTTGTTGACTTTGTCTCTGAAAGTACTTTTACTTTGAAAGTACTGTTTTTAATCACATATTTATTACTAATAAATATTATGTAATGTCAAATATCTTAAATATCAAGATAGGCTTATCGCTGACTGTGCAAATACGAATCCTTAAGTTCCCCAGACACATACCTCGCAATGAGAACTCTATGGAACGAATAGTGGTGCAGGAAAAAATTGAAGGCAAAGACCTAGTGCGCTCTCCAACACGACGGATCTATGAGCCGTAATGTATTAATAGCATCCCAATCGCAACTCAACTATTTCCAGTTTGTAATTACACTATCTACCTGAGGTGAGAATATTATTAGTCAAATGGCTACTCCTCAAAACAATGGTGACATATGTATGTATTTATTAGAGTGTAATGTAGTACTTGAAGAGTTATTTATTTTTCATAATTACGCTAATATTTGCAGAATTCCCTACAGATCATATTAAATCTGTGTCGCATTCTGACAGAAGCGATTGCTTTCACCTCGCCAAATATCAAGCCATATGGCGACGAATATCAAAATTCATCGCGGTCCAAGACTGACCTCGACTTGACCACGATCTGTCAAAAGTGCACGACTACGAAAAATACTTGTATTTAAATTGAAAGTATATGACGTCTTAATCTTTATTTATGTAGGTAGACATCCAATATTTATATGTTACTTCAAAACCTTACCTACAACTATTATTATATGGGATTGAGTATTGTATGCTTTTAGTATTTTAGATAATTTTTGAGCTATTAAACTTTAACCTAATCTTCCTTATGATTAAGGAGGATGGGACATGATCCTTCACACTGGCCCAATGTGAATTGGAGGGCATTATCGACTGAAAATGCGATCGGCACCAACGGCTTAACATGCCTTCCGAAGCACGGAGTAGCTCGAGATATATTTTTTTTGCGGAAGTTGCTTAACAACAACGATCACGGGTCGCGGTTCTTCTCCACTACGCCCCTGAGCTACTCTACCTAACCTTTGCATGTATTTTAAGTAATGGATAACCTACATAAAACCTATGCTTAATTTCAATAGCAGTTTCTGAAATAATTAAATTGCTTATAAGCGTCATTTCACATTCTTTTGAATTTGTAATCGGTTCTATTAAAAAAAAAAGAACGTATTTAATGTAGACAGCTTTTTTAAATATATTATGCATATTTTTAAATATGTTTCATTTTTATCATACCTTTGACTTTATAAAGTTTTATTCGTTTCTTACAAACAATATGATACAACAATAACCTGTAGGTTATCATATTGTATGCAAACAGCTAATAAAACGATAAAAAGTAATAAATGGACTTGCTGTGCATAATAAAGTATACACACGTACTCAAATTCGGTAGAATATCATTGATGAAAAGAGATCAGGCTTCGCATTGGACTACGATTTAATAGTCAATTTACTTTGGTAAAGCGTTTTTTTTCAAACCAAATAACTTGAACAAAGCTTTTCGATAACACTAAAAATTAATTCATTGTAAAATTAAAATTAATAATTAATATAATATTGAAACTAAAAATAAATTGATTACTATCTTGTTATAAAATAACATTTTCAAGAAAATCATAAATAAATAATAAATATACACTCATGACTCGCTCCATTAAAGGCGCAATATTCATACGTGCATTTTACAATGGTTTTGTCTGTATAAAATGATAACACTCTCGTCAGTTCAATTTACCTTGAAAGTCGAGTGATTGTGTTAAATTAAAATTAAAATGTGGATAAAATTCATATTTTGCATTTTGTGTCTGGTGCAAGTCAAAGCAGTTGACGTACTTCCATACACCATGGTAGCTTACACCACGTCTGGGTCACCATGTATCGGTGGTTGTTCACCCATAACTCGCCAGTGCGTCGCATACTGGCCTCCAAAGAATGAACCTTGCACTCTTTATAATACGCCAGCACCAAAGTTTCGCTTGAATAGTCCAAGAGATCATATGTACTGTCTCTCAAATTGCGTAAAATATGCTTGGAGTACTGCCTGGTGTTATGTACACACTAATGGACAATATGACTATTGCAATGAAACACCTATATACGCAAACGCTATTATACCAACAACAACACCTGTTACATCGACGACCACGATTGAATCCATTATAGCTCTGACAGAACCTATTAGGAAAGTGCCTGTACTTCCATCTAATTATAACAACGGCGCTGAATCCCTAAAAGGAAACTGTGATTCATTTTTCAGTAAGCTATCCAATGACTTTACAGATTGGAATGAACCGAGTATAGCTTACGACGGTTTTATTAAAGAGCAAGCAGATACTGTTGAAATCAATGCCAAAATTAATTCAAATATTCAAATACAGACTGTTGAGGAATATGGTGTTGCAGTTAAGAGCTACACTTTAGTAAATATCGCTTTAGCTAATGGAAGAAATATGTCAATTCCAGTGGTGATACGCGCTCACGTAACTAATCAGACTATTAAACATTTACAAATATCTGAAAGATTTGGTGAATCTAACCAAAATGTAGGTGATTTCTATGAACTGTTCTACAGACGGCGATTGATTGGTGATGAAATCGGTGGACCTGATTTACCTTACAATTATGTGCCGCAGTCTGGGCGACTAAGACCAGTCTTGACTAATATAGAACAAGTAATAAAGTCATGGTGTGTTGATGGAGATGAATCTGTGGATATGCTAATAGTAGTATTTTATCCTGAATTTAAAACTAGAATGCCGCATGCAATTGGTATCGATCTTACCTTCAATAATAAAGATAACAGTGTATTTGTACGGTGTAAAGACTCATTATATTTCAACTTATTGTAAGTTGAATAATTATATCTATACCGAGCGAACCAAGGCAAGACGTCGTGGCAAGAGCGCACTCCACATGAGTGGGTGGTATGAACTTTGGAGCAGGCTATCCTCCGGAAGCTATTTATTTATCGTTGATTAGAGTGTAAGCTGTGTATTAAATTGCAGCCGTCGAAACCAAATGATACGTAATACAAAATTCCTGTCTTGCATTGCTGGACTTTTGGATTACCCGAATTAGATGTTTCACTCGGTATGGATGTAACTTCAATAGCTGATAATTTTAAAGAGTTAATTTTGAAAAAAAATATTGTTGGTTTGTATAAAATCTTCGTTCATTTACTAAGAAAATCAAATAAAATAATATAAACATTATTAGACACTTATGTTTTGTCATATTTGTCGTTTATAGTGTAAATTATTAGGTATCATATCATTGACGATAAAAAATTTATTTCAAATTTTTCAAATTAACAATAATGATAGTCAAACGTTTCTTGTTAAAATCATCTATATATACAAACTATATAATTTATCGTATAAATAACTCTGTCAGTCATAGTTCACAGCGCGGCGACGATTTCTTTAATATTACTTATTGAATAATAGATATTATAGGTATAAATCTATATCTACACATAACATAAAGTGAAATCGCTCCCCGCTGTCTGTATGCTAAGATCTTTTAAACTATACATTGGATTTTAATGTGGTTTTTATACATATACAGAGTGATTCAAAAGGAAGGTTTATATGTAGTATAGATCTACGCGGGTAAAACCGCTCGCTGGCGAAAAGTCATTATATAATATATTTAATGTATTGAGGAAATCTAAATATCATAATTTTTATTATTTTATGTCGAATGAAAAAGCGATTTCAATTATGTTTCTCGTGCAGGTGACTAACGATATTAGCGTAACGCTCGCTTTTACTGTTATTGCCGGGCAAGTGGTCGTACGAATATTGTGTGGTTTTTTTCCTCTTGTTTAGTCAACACTATTATGGAGCAATGTGTTTGAATGTATCTCCGTATTACTTTCGAACATGATATGAAAATTGGATTAGTTTTATACATTTGCAGTTTTCAAAGATTAGGGTTTTTACCTCAAACGAAAAAGGATTCTGACCCTTGATCACTTCGGTCTCTTTACTGGTCCATCTACATGATCACAGGACCGATTGAGTTTATAGGACCAGAAGGTGGTTATGGCCCCATTTGAAAGTAGCAACAGTTAACCAAAATTAAACCGTTGAAGGTTGGCACTTGAATATATAAGAAAATGCGACAAAACTTAGTAAGCGCTATGCAGGTAGTATGGCAGTTAACAAATTCAAATAATATCACTTGTAGTCCACGAACCAACCTCACAATAGATTCAATATGATAAATGATGATATTCAATTAATTAAAATAAAAAATTTTAACCGACTTCAAAAAGTCGTAATAAAGAGAAAAAAATGTAAAGAGAGAAATAATACTACAAAATTTTTATGTTATATAAAATCGATATACTAAGTTTCGTCGAATTTTCACATATATTCAACTACCAAATTTTATGATAGTGCTGTTTTACTTTTTAATAAAGGCTGGCAGTTGGCACAGATTTAAAAAAAAATTTTAGTTTCCGTGTTTCAATAATTTTGTGGTATTTATGGTTATGAATCTTTTCAGTTGTTACTTTTTCTTGTGACTTTCTGAAGTCGGTTTAATTTCTTTTTGTTTTTCATTTGTTTAGTCCCGTTGTTCAATACAGAAGCTCAAAAAAGTGCATTCGTTTCATCTTAAAATCGGATTTTTGATGAATTTTTTACAAGTTCCAAATAGAAATTTTTTAATCTCTGTTGAGTATGCGATGTTATGAATTAAATTAAAGAGAAATGTATTCATGATAAATAAACACAAACTTTTATTTTTATATTTTTTAAACATTAATTTCAAGCCGTATTTGGAAAATAATGTATTTTAAGCATATCAACCTAATTTGACTTTACCTCGAAGCTTATGAAGTGAATATTTAGGGGCTAACGAAATTGCCACGACGTAAGAATGAGACAAAGCTTTTATGCAAAGTGTGGGTAAAAGAGATGGCAAAATTTTCTCGCTCACCAATGGAAACATCCCAGTAACATAGGATTGGTGATTTGCATTCAACTCGGGCCCTGCTGTGGAATTGTGTTTTTATTGTTCTGATAAGGTACTGTCTCCATCTTTTTCCATACTCTGAGAAAGGCAACTGCATTAAATACTTCATTACATATATGATAAGTCAAAGTATGTTAACCATAGGCATTAGAAAATATAATTTAAATCCTATTTTCTATAATTTTGATACATCACTCATTTATAATATATTATTAATTTTGCATTCATAATGCTATACCCGATGGGACTCGAACCCACGAACTTTCGTTATCCGGACGATTGCTTTAATTACTGAGCTACCCGAAACCCACAGGACTGATGAATTTTTTTAAACTTTTTCGCCCCTAGTGACCGTTAATTTTAATCTTGCTATCAATTAATGTGGAAGTAATTTATCACATACTTTGAATGAATGAAAGCCGCCGCATTATGTTTTTCTATCAATATCAAATATCACTGTTGTCAATGAGAGTAATGCCCATCTCATTCCCAGCGTCTTCATAATGAAATTGCAGTACTATTGGTCTATTTAATCTAGACATGACTGCGTGTCTAGGCAACAAGACACCCTTATAAATACTCCAGAGTCATGACGTATTCATTACAGTATCACAGGCTTAAATAATTAATTTAATAGCTGACTATTAACTATCTAAATACCTTATTTAGTAAATGCAAGAATACTAATGGAGATATTCTAATTTAAATTCAATATATAATAATATAGAATATAAATATTCCGGTATAATTGTTTAATATTTTGGTTTGTACTGTAATAACTCTATAATTTCATTATGTACCTACGCTCTGATTATTTTTTTCACCAGAGTACCCAAATTTTATTACCAGATAGAGAATACCCTTTTTATGAATTGAGGAAATGCTTTATGCACAGTCCTTACAGCCTGGAGAGCGGAACTTGCCTCTGTCACCGGAGGCTTACCCACCAAAGTCCTTATAGTGTACCCTTTGGCAGAGAATGCCCTAACTATTACATTTATGTATTGGGTATTAAATAAGAAATTAAAAAGCAGTCAATAAAAAAGGGTTATATTTAAGCGAGTAAAGGATTACATTGTTTTTTTTTTCACTAGGAAGTACCAAATCAGTGAGGGCATCAGTATCTAAATCGAGGCAGCATCGAGGCATGCCCTTTTCAATTTAAGTTAAAATATTTTTTCCAATTTACATCATATCAGTGTAGCATTTTTCTGAACGATTCATTTTTGTACACCTGTATTTTTCCTCCCGCCAGCGTGATTACTGTTTTAATTATTAAACAGATGCTATCCCGAGGGAATCAGGTTATTTCCTGATAAAACTGGGTCAGTGTTTTTCTTATTATATAGGTTTTTGTTGGACTCGGAGCCTATGGAGTGGTTTTCATAACACAAATGTATCAATATTTTTATTGAGTTTAAGTAATTACTATTTTTAACAAGTAGATCGGTGGCGTAGTAGATAAGCACCGCGGCTCGCGATCATTGTTGTTAAGCAAATTTCGCAAGGGAGAGTCGCGGGATGGGTGATCAAAAAATTACTATCCCGAGGTACTCCGTGTTTCGGAAACATTTTAAGTCATTGGCCCCGGCTGCATTTGAAGTTTTTATTACTCTCCAATCTGCATTGGGCCAGTGTGGAGGGTCATGGCCAATCATACTGAACCATCCATACGGGAGGCCTGAGCCGCTGCAGCTGGTACGTAAAAGGGTTGAGGATGACGATCATGAATTACTATTTTTATTATATTTAACGTTCTTATCAGGGGTACGACCACCTAACTACCCAGTTATGACTAGCCACAGGATAAAACATCTTAATTACTGCCAGTGCTTTCAAAAATATTAGCGACAGCTATAAAAGACAGAATGATAGAATTCATTGAATCGAATCAACTTTTGTCGGATGTGCAGTTTGGTTTTCGTAAAGGACGTTCTACTGAAATGGTGATTCGTAAAGTAATATACTTTATCATAGATGCAATGGATGAATCTCAAAAATGCTCAAGCATTTTTTGCGATCTGTCCAAAGCTTTTGATAATTTGAGGCATGATGTTTTGCTACTTGAGTGTTATTATTATGGATTCGATGGAAGAGAGCTTGAAATAATAAGAACTTATCTTCACAATAGAAAAAAAGTTACTAAAATTAATAATATTTATTCTAACGAACTTTATTGCAGTACAGGATCCCCAAGGGTTCTTTTTTAGGACCAGTGTTCTTAATTTACATAAATGACACTTAAAATTGTTTGCCTGATAGAAGCCATGCTACTCTTATTGCTGATGATACACATATTGGTATAAGAGATGTGACTGAAAAGAGTGCAAATGAAAAAAGGCGAAGGTATGAAAAAAAGGCGAAGGATAGTCCTTAAAATTGGTCTAACATAAATGGTGAAGCGTTAGGTTGTAGATGGAGGGTGAGAAGCACCCCCTAGGCTTCAGGTAAAAAGAGAAAAAGAAACAAAATAATGTTTAATACTTTATTTTATCCCTCAGGGGGTAGGTATAGTATTCGCTCGCTATGGTTCTTGTATCTTGAATTATGAGGGGAGGACTTAGCTTTAAGTATAGTAAGGGGATTTAGTGACGAGTCCGTGGGTTCAGCGTCACGAGTCGGGCAGAGGCTGGCAAGGGTGTAGACCCGTCGTCAGCTCCAGTCAGCAGCACTGAAGATCCACGAAGACTCAGGCACAACGCAGAGAAGCGTAAGTCAGGAGGACTCGGGTAGAAGAAGAACCCTGTTAACATAAATACAGCACTGAATAGAAGTTCAATAAGTGCGGCTACCTGTGGCCTGGAAAAATTAAGATAGCTGCAGTTGCTATAGCTTCTATAAAAATCTACCGGCTAAAAAATATATA